AAAATAACAGAAATAACACAAAAAGGTGATATAATTCGCACCAGAAACTGTGCTTTAGCGGTCATTGCGGTAAGACTTAGACTTAGACGTTTTGTAAGTCCAGGGTGGTCAGTGATCACCATCGTGGTCTCGTCGATTTGAATAAGCTACTACTCGATGGTCATCTCGAACACCTGTTACATCGAAAATATTGTATTTATTTATATGTATATATTTTTTTTGTCAAACGGACGGACAACAGCCTTTCTTCTGTACGGCCTCAATGAGATTCACGTAGTGTGAAGGTCAACACGCCACCGCGGACGGAGTACTGTTATTTCATTCGCAATATCATTGATCTCCAAATGATTATCATTGTCATGTTGAAATCAGTGTCTGTCAGCTGTAACGTCGGGTCGCACATCAATCGTCATGGTCAACTGTATTTTTGTCGCATGCGGAAAACGTACAGCCGGATAACCGTACATCTAAACGTATCGAATAAGCGGCTCACGTGTACTCGCCCAGTCGCATGATGTTATCACGAAACGGAGGCGGTGAGAACCGACATTCCATTGACCATTAAAAAAACATTATATACATTATTATTAATTAATAATTATATACATTATATACAATAAGAACTGTGGAACTCGCCGAGTTGTACGCCGAAAATATTTATTTTTTTCCTCCACAATCGCAGACACTGATACTCCGTTTTGCGTAATGTGAACGTATGGTAGTGGACTGTATTTAGATAATAATTGCATTTTTAAATTACAATTATATTTAAAATTAATTTTAAAAATGCTGCTTGTCAGCGTTACACGAATCGATTCTCATATCACGTACAACGTTCGACTGGACACCCGAATTCGCTTAAGAATTTATATTTTATAGTCCTGGTTTATAATCTTAACCGCGATATCATAATATAATATTATCTAACCATACATCGATATTAAGTGACACAAACAAATACAACGTGATCATTGCGTTCAGCCTTGATGATAAATTTAACATTTTGATGTAACAGTTAGGTATATTGAATATATATTATATTATATAGGGCGCATTCGAAATATTATGGCGAACGAAATAAATATGGTTCAAAATATTATGTCGATACACTACGGCAGTTTAAGTTCAAATGCGAAAACCATCTTAAAACAAATTTTTCTGTCCTAACATTTCAGAAGATAACATATAACCAACAGTGAATTATATTTCTAACATTGTTGATTAAAATATGATGTGTTTCGAAGTGTATATTATAATTCGTTGTGTAGTTACTTAAAACCCGCACCACAATTGTACATCGCAACGCTTTTTTTTATTTATTATTATTGATCATTATTGCATTAGCTACTGGTGCACTAGTTATAAATTAGCATTTTATTTACATATAGATTACACTTAAGTTTATGTTTATATTATGTTATATAATTATATTTCCTTTGAGAAATTTTGTAGTTAATATTTGGTGTTTATATACACTTTTTACCGCGATAATAAATCACGTACAATGCGTGTCGGTACACCACGATGAGGTTTATCTTGATAGCACGGTGTTGCTAAAATACGTGTACAATACAAATTCAACTTGGCCACATAATATTATTTGAAGAGATAATTTGGTTTTCTCGTAGTGTTACGTCTAAGAACATATAAATCATCATCATCAACTTTTGTGTAACGCGCTACTCGTATGCTAATGTACTACCACGAATGAAGTAATTCGATTGCACTGCATTATATTAATATGCGCTTCGTCTCGGTGACGTTATCGAGGTGTGTGCATATCTTAATGTGTATCGCGTATATAATAGAAGACTTTATCGTTAATAAATAATAAACATAAATAAGAAAATCGTATTTATAAAACTGTTATGCTTGGAATTAATTTACTAATTAACTTTACCTGAAGTATGGAAAGTACCATTAATTACTGCTGTAACGAGGGTACAGAGTGAAATATCTTTGGACACTTCGAGAGGTAGAAAAAAAAATATGAAACATAGAATACTAGAACGGCCATGTACTCGTAAAAACCATCGAACAAACCGGTTTTAGTCGTTACAACGTTTATTAATTTTCAAATCAATGTCTCGCAAATACGATTACGCATACGTTTGTGTTAAATAATATTCTAATTTAAATATTTCAAACACAATTCCAAATGTAGATCTCTGATAATATTGTTTTTATATGTATTTATTCCGTATGAAAATGATGTGTATAGTAATAATTGGAAATCACGTAAGGAAAATGTACAATGGTAATGACTAGGGCTAGGATTTGTATGCAATAAAAAATTGTAAAATATGCATTTTATTTACTAAAATATGCAAAAATATGTATTAAATTTTTATAAGATAAACACAAAAATATAGTTACAAAAAAAAAAAAATAAAATAAAAAAAAATATTGAAATATATCAGTGGTTGACTATTTGTCTTAGTATAATATAATTGAGAAATAAAATAAAATAATTTAAAATAAAATTTATGTTTGATAAAAATATCAAGTTTTATACTTTAATCAGCAGAGCTAAAATGAAATACGAAATATTAACATTTAATTATAAATATTAATTATGAAATATACTATAATTCATTTTTCGCATTATTATAATCAAAATATGCAATAATATTCATGTTATTCAATATATACAATAATATGCATTTTATCCAAAATATGCAAAAACATGCAAAATAAAAACATCGCTATATATCTCATCATGAGGTGATTCGTGGACATTACTGACAAAATCAATAATCAAAAATGGCAAAAAAAAACATGCTGTTACATACAAATCATAGACCTGGTAATGACATTTGTTGCATATGCTATTCTTATAAAAATTACTATCAATCCGTTCGTCAATGAAAATGCGCGGCGTATTCGATTTTTGTGTTAAAACAATAGCCCCTAAATAATACATTTTGTTATGTATATAGATGGAAAAAATTACCTCAATAATTGTACTGAATGGGTTTTTAATTTTTTTTTTTTTTTTAATATGACCGCGATATTCTGTCCTTATTATTGTTTAGTGCAAGAAAACGTTTATACTACACATATAGATTTAATAGTAACGCTTTTTTTCTTTTTCTTTCCCTCCCTCTTTCTGTACCGGGCAGAGGACACAATTCATGTGGTCTTAAACAACCTCGATTATTAATTAATTGAACAATTTGATCATGCATCTGATTGAAAGTCAAAGAACACCGATTGAAAACAAAACGCGAGATGGAATGATAGAAGATAGATTAAATTATGATGGAATGCTGTATCAAAATAATTATTTGATTATAATTATTAATGATTATTAAGGTAATGCTATTAATACAATTGCAATATAAACGTGTATATTTTGTTTATAAGTGATCAATCATTATAACGTAATAAAGAATTTAATAAAACTATAAATGAAAAACAATAATAAAAATAAAATAAAAAAGCGTCTGTTGTTAATATTAAAAGAGAGTACTTATCGCGTAACCACTTACACAAATATGGTATCAAACTATAATTAATTAGAATTTCGAAGCTGTTTTCGTCCGTTAAAATCATCCGTTAAAGTTAGCTGCTACTTGTTATGAATTTATCTAGCAATGATTCGAGCACCTCATGTAACCAATACAAGCTCATCTATCTCGTTGATAACATTTTACGATTATGATAAAGAATTTCCATCGTCCGGCGCACCGTCCAATATTTTATTGAAATATTTACGATAATCCGATTAATTCAGTCGGCATCCGATCGGCAATCAGATCAATTGAACTCGACGAGGAACATTGAAATCCATCGGATCGGATTGACAATCGAGGTTGTCGAGGAACACACGGACGTGTTACACATATTCCACGCGGCTCCGTGTCGCAAACCTGTATACCGGCGGATCAAAGTGTTTACCCGTTGCAACGCAATCGCGCGATTGCGATTGTATAACGATGGTCGTGCAGCGATCAGCAACAAACCGGCATTGTGTACAACTGTTATGCGCTTAATAATAAAGCTCGCGCACGTGGCCCGCGCGAATCGATATAACTCAACGGTTATTCAACTGTCGATCATAAATTACGTGTATTGTAACCGTTTGCCGCGTGTAACGTCCGCGTCGTATCGGAATTTTTGTTGTCGTACAACACGTAAACGGATCGTTTCGTCACGTTCAATTTGCGTTTGTTTCGTCTTCCCCGATCAGTAAATTGTCCATCGTCCGTCTTAATGAGCGTTCAAGTTTATAGCCACCAGATCCTTGGGGGTAGGGAAGGGGTTCGAGGAAACTGGCCGTACCTTACATGTTGGGGAGGGGATGAGGGCTAAATCTTAAATCTGATGTCAGCATCATATCCATCAAAATTTGAGTTAACCCGTTATATATATATGTATATTCGTGTTAGGTATAATTAATAATAAAATACTAAAATAATAACATTATGATGATAAAAAAAAAAAATAAAATAACGAGTAGTTATTAATATAATGTTGTATAAATAATAATATAGTCACAATTTGTTAATTAACCCGTTAAAATAAGCAAAAGTCGATTAACTACCGACAGCATCGAAGTACCGTCTTATTATTCGGATTATTATTTTTATTTTTGACAATTGAAGAAATTAATTTTATAATAATAATAAAGTGATTTAGGGGAGGGGAGGAAGAAAATCAATAGAAAACGTTGACGTAAGTTAGGAGCTAATAGGACCTAATGAGACTGTCTGACGAACGTTGACATTGGGTAGGAGAGATCAAAAGTGCTAAAAAATTTGCATACGTAATACTTGAATGCTCCCTTAAAGGCAAATTCGTCTCAAACACCCCCTCTCCATCAAAATATGGTTATGAGTCTGTATATTGTGCAACAATATTTTCATACTTTTATCCGGTTGAATACAGTTCGTATTTACTGGCTTACAACTGTTGAACTACGAACGAAATTTCGAATTTACACACGCACAAAATCTAATGAGTATCATTAATAATTGTGTTTTCTTTTTGAATTTTAGGGGCTTTTCGTTTGTACGATGTCGACAACGATGGTTTCATAACAAGAGACGAGATGTACAACATCGTGGATGCTATATACCAGATGGTGGTGAGTAAAAAAAAAAAGAAAAATTCAAACCCTAGAAAATAAATGTAAGCTGTATAACACAATATATCACTAGATATGTATAAAAACGGCTCATTAAAAAAAAAAAAAGACCAATCAGACTCTCCGTACCGTATTAAAGTTTTTAAAAAAAAAAAAAAAATATATTTATTTCGTTAAAAATTGTAATTTATCAAAATACAGGAGACAAATCGTTAGCGGACAAATATTTGTAAATAATGTGTTTAAAAGTCTATTGAAATAAAAACTAAAATACGATTAGGTTATGCGAGTCACGCGAGTTTCGTTAATTTCGAAAACTTAAGATTTAGAAGAGCAGTCATATGAGCAATAAAACTTTTGTCTACTGATACGGAAATCGAATGTCACTGTGCAATTGTTTGTGAAACTACACAAGTTCCTATAAATATAAATGCACGTTGATAAATCACCTCGGGGTTCGGATCATATACCTACGTACGGTGTTACGCAATGCTAGTGTATAGAATTTATATTTCTGTGTACATTTCACAGAATTCTTATCGATTCCAGAAACAACTTGACGATAACAGTCATTATTATAAGTACTTTATGAATAACATAATTAATGAACAGTTAGTGGGTCATCTGCGCTTGGATTAATGATGAAACGTTAGTCTTACACAGAAAAATCAATAGTGGAATATTTATAGTTTTATGGTGTAGAACATTTAAAAACGCATTGTTGCACCGAACGTCAGAAGTGAGGTACTCAATTGTACAACCCATTATTCGGGGTAAAAGAACTGTTGTTCGATGTTAGAATTTAATCCTTTCACATTAAATTGACAAATATTTTAACTTGTATATTTATAAACTTCAAAACCTATCGCAGACACGCATGGTGTCCAGGTTTTTTTTTAACCTGCGCATGATACGTGGTGTGTAATGATAAAAACATATTATACAGTGGTGCATTATTTTTTGCCAACCCTTCTTTGGTATTTACGGTTTCTCGTCTATTTCTCATGGTCACGCATAACCGTGTAAGAGGATACCCGAATAGTTCTGCGTGAACGAGATGATTTTGAGATAAAATAAAATAACATTTTTGACCGATGGCAACAAAAATATATGAAAATCTAATTTCCCATGCGTGTCGTTTTTTTTCTTCTATCAGACGGAGAGGACTTAAATTTCAGAACGGTCCACTAAATCAACAACCACGCACACGTTATTTACAATGACTATACGTTTTAATGCATATACATAGTTTGGGCTTCGTTCTCATATCGAATATTTACAGTAGACAGGATGGTTTTTTAACGTTTAACATTTACGGCGGAAAAAAATTTGAAAAAATTTGTACAAAAACAATTAAATCCATCGATAAAATGAATGTCAAACGGTTTAAAATTACAACTTTACAAGGATAAAGGAATATAAATATAAAATATAAATATAAAAAAGTATTTGAGTGTTACCCTTGGATAATAATCAGTCAACTAAAAACTAACGATGTATGATATATGTGAATAATGTATAATAGACGTAATACGGTTGACGATACGCAACAGGTTTTAAATGAGAATGGATTCATCGATTACTACATGTAAACAGAAATTTATTTATGTTACTGGCAATGTGGAATACTGGGCAATGTACACATTGCCCGGTTAATATGGTCCTGCCCAGGCAATGTAAACCAAGAATATTATCTAATATCGTTATATAATTTTTCTAATAAATTTAATTCAATTATGAATTTATTATAATATATAATATAATATTAATATCATTATGTTATATATTAGCTATCGAATTATTAAATTATCTAATAAATTAAATTTCTAAATTTTATTATATTACAAATATTTTGATAAAAAAAAAAAAAAAAAAATCAATATTATTATTTTAATTTTAGTATAAACTATAATTTTATTATTAGTTACCTATTTATTTACACAAGATTTAGAAGCATGACACTTGGAATTGCATAGTCTATCTAATTTTCTACATTTTCATTTATTTGTTTTGCAACCCTGAGTACAAGTACACCGATCATATCCTTGTCCTCCTAAATTAGAAAAGGAACGGGCTGCTTCTCGCAATGGAATTGAATTACCCGGTACATCTTTGATCAGTACAAATTTTTCTTTACACATCGTAAATTGGTTTATATCAGGCAATGTGCCCATAACATATACATATAAACAATCTGTAGACAAAACGATAACATGATCAATAAATGAGTAGTGCGTTTTTGTTTTTAGTAATTTATATTTATATTTATTTAAAGAAAATACATTATTAACTAATTGTATGAAAATTCTTCAATCAAATATTCGTTTATATTATATATTAAATTAAATTGACACAAGCATCTCATGGAGAAAAACGATCCTTCCATATGTGAAATGTGTGGAGTGGTCTACACAGTCAAACACATTATCATTGAATGTCAAAAATACGAAGACATGAAGAAAAAACATCAAATATCACAATAAATCGGAGAAGCACTCGGACCCGACCCTCAATCAATCACCAAAATCCTACAATTTATTAAAGAAATTCAGCTATATAACCTAATTTAAGCTCTATTATAAGTCAATCATACAATTGTAAAATAATTTAAGTTAATGTCAAAATAATGGCCATAGAAGCCGATGTTTTTAGATCAATAATAAAAAAAAAAAAAAATTAAATCGGTTAATTCACCATCGTTTTGTAAAAATGTTTAAACAAATAAACAGTAGAAAACAAAAAAAAATTTGACTCAAAAGTATTAATCTCACAATGGGTGTCAATATTACATAAAATTACAAAAATGTTTCTGATATATTTTACGTTTATTTTATATTGTGGTAGGTACGTAATAGAATTGCCTATTATTATAAAGGGCTTGAATTTGAATGCACTAAAAACACTTGCAATCAATTAAATTATATTTTTTCTTAATGAAATAACATTTAATACAAATTATTATTTATAGCTTTAAGATTTAAATAATAATATGAAAATTTTAGAAAATGTTTAAAATTATTTGTAATAATTTGTTCTTCGGAATTATTTGTTGTATACATACTACATACACACTATATACACATAGAGAACACAAATAAAAACATATTGATGGGTTAAATACGATAATAATGGATCGAGTTATTACACATACTATAATGTCATATTAACACTGTAAGCACCACGTAACTGATTAAGTGGTAATGTTGCACATAATAAGACTATAATAATAACAATACGTAATTTATTATAGTATAGTAAATATATGGATTAGGTACAAACACGGTTTATAATATACTTATTTACGTATTTCTTGGTTAGGTAATAGTTCCAAAAAAATATAATATTTAGATGCCAGTGTTTTTATAAAATTGTAAATTGACCCACCAACTACAAAAGTTTGAATCATTTTGTTTAATACAAACGTAGAAATATGAATGGTAATTTCATTATGTCCCGCATAAACATTCACTGGAACACAAGTAAAAAACCTAAAAATCCTGAATGTCCCACTAAAATCAAAATGGCTGATATTCCTGCTCTCTATTGTCTGACATTTTTCAAGTACCGTATAAAAGTAACTTTCTATTTTTCTACTTACTCAAGTAATTTACGCTAATTTATCTAAAATTTTTCTCATATTAATTTAAGTAATACACTTTTGTTTCAAATCCTTTTCATAATTTCTATTTGGAAAATGAAAAAACTTATATTTTGTGTGCTTCTATTCATATTACTACGATTTACTACACAACAAATTTTATTTGATTTATTTATATTAATAATATATACTTAATATTACCAGTAATTAATAAAGTTGGCTTAAAACAAGAAGTACCTAGTATAGGTATTATGTTATTTATGTGTACAAATATAAAAGTGAGTAGGCCAAATGAAAATTAAAAAATACTACTGCTGGATAATTGTTTTTATCATGTGTTTAAGTAAATAAAAATAATAATAATTATAATAATAATCTGTTTATTATACAAATTTAATTATCGATTAGATGTATTAAAAAAAAAAAAAAATGCAAAAAAAAACAATGTGAAAAATATATAAATATTTAAATGTATTGAATACAATTTAAAAAATCAGAATTGGACGCTATAAAAGGTGCATAGTATTAAAACCGGTTTATTGAATTTGGAAAATATAAATGTTCAAAAAAGATAAATTTGTTGATAAAAAACACGATTTTAACCATATAATATAGATTTGTATTAACATTATACTTGTATATATTTATACAACAAAAGCAAAATTATACTCAAAAATAAAAATTAGAACAAAATCAATGAAAAATTGAATTTTTATGTTGCTCATGAAGTAGTGACTATAGGAACATTGTTTGAAATGCTCAATGAAATGTTTCGGCCAATAGCTCGAACAACTACAGAAAAGTTGAATTAATTTTCTCCGGGGACGGACGTTGAACCGGATGGTTTTTTGTTTTAAAAATAAGTAATAAAAAAGCGTGTATGAACTGGTTGAACTTTTGAAATTAGAATATAATCGTGTTGCTCTAAACACATAGTAACTAAGTCTATAAAATGATACTTTAACAGAGTAACTATAACTCAAAAAAAAAATCAATTCCTGTAAGTCTAAACGATTTTACATAATATTCAAATTCGTATTTATATGCAAGTCCTTTTCATATTTTTGTGTAGCATGCAGTTCTATGGTGTCACTACAATAACAATAACTAAAACGCATGAGTGTCTGACTAAGTTTCTAAATTATACAAAAACAAACATATTAACAATATTATATTATAACATTAGTATTGGTTTGCTTAAATATGGTTGATTTTTCGACGTATAATAATTATTATTATTAGTTTGCGTGTATATTAATAGGTCATTATGGTTATGGATATGCATTAATTGTGCATCTTCATATTCTTCATTTATAAAATTTGTTCATTTATAGAATTCTAAGCCAGGTTCAATAACATCCATCAATATATTGACTTATATGCGACTATAAATAGCCTGCAA